TATGGCCGTGGCAGGCTTCTTGCTAACTGTTCTTTTATCTTAAATTAACCCATTTTTATAAATCTATACCTTGCCACGTGGCTGGTGGCTTACCAGAGTCCTTACATGCTGCTTTTCCTGGCGGTGGCTGCAGTGTCTCCCCCCTCAGCCTTCCGCTTCCCAGAATTCTCCTCTCTCCTTGTCCCACCTACTTCCTGCCTGGCAACCTACTTCCTGCCTGGTCACTGGCCATCAGTGTTTTATTTATATAGAGCAATATCCACAGCAATGGGGCCCCACAATAACCACTCTACCCAGTCCAGAATGATGCCATGGTATTCACAAACATTACTCAATGATCAACCTTGGACTGAAAACTCTCCAAGATAGTCCCACAATGACATGGTCCATCATACTACACTTTTAGTCAGAATCTCAGACAACCCTACCCATTACTCTGAGACTGGCTCCAGAACCTACAGTTAGTCCAACTGAGACCTAACTATCTGAGCTTTCTTACAGGACCCCACAGAAGTACTGTCACCCCCTGAACAGTAATTTTACAGTACAGTTGTCTAAGACAACAATGCCCCTTTTCCCAAAGGTTTCATGTTTCTCAGGGTTATGGATAATGGTTATAGGGTTGGGGATGGAACAATGACATTAGACTCAGTATTCTCCTTAAGAAAAGAAAAAAGGGAATGGATAGGTATAGGATATTAAGGTAGATTATTGTATATACAAGTAAACTAATTTAGTAAAATATCAGCCTTAGATAAATTGCACTGTTATGGATTCTTGTATATTGATGCAAATGTAAACCATCTTTATATTCTTATTTAAGATAATTTGTATATTGATACAAATACAGAACTACATTTGTTGTAATGTGCATATATTTCTACTCTTATTTGAAATGTTTGTATATTGATACAAATGAAAAATTATATTTGTCATACTGTATGTATGTTCTACCTCTGTTTAGGATATTTTGATATATTGGTACATATTTAGGATTATTGTCATACTGCATATTGCACTATACATTCCTACCTCTGCTTTAGCTATTTTGTGTGGTGTCACAATTTTGAGGTCATTGTCCTTTTACTGTACATTTTACTGTACATTTGCTTACTGTTTACTTTGTTTAGGTGAAACTTTAGCCCTTAGGTTATTTAGGTAGATAAGGCTTACAGATTTATAGTCACCTATGCTTGTCATCTCTATAGTTATGTTAGTTAGGCTATCCAGATTTACAGATATATAGGTCAGATGGACAGGTAATCTTCAAATACTTCATAGACCTAGAGAATATGGCATTTAAATAACTTAGAATTCTGTTGACATGAGACATAATTGCTCCTGACAGCACTGATTTGATCCTGAGAGAAGGTTGGGCTTCTAAGACATTTCTGTTTGGAAGTTTGTCTTCTTGGCACAAAATGACCTACTGGACAAAGAACTGCCGTTGCCTTGACTGCTGACAGTATAAATACTGTCCCTTGAGAATGAGCAGGACACAAGGATAAGTGACTACTGAACTCTGCCATGACAGGGTAAGATGATAGTCTTTCAAAATACCTGCTTCTGAAAATGATCTGTCAGATACTCTAGACCTATAGCCAATTTGAATGCATCAATGATGCTGAGAAACTTTAGGTGACCATCCAGGCTGCCAGCTGTCTCTCTCTACTCTCACGAGACTCTCAAAAGTTGCTTGCATCCTTCCACCATTTCTCAGGTATTATTATATTCCTTCTCAGGTCTTTGATGGGATTGAAGACTAACAGTTATAGTTATAATCTTCTCATATCTTAGTTAGAACATATTAAGAATTAGATTCAAGTTCTTCAGGATAGGACACCTTTTGGAATAATCTCTGCACATGCCATCCACCCATGATCCAGACTTCTCTGGATTTTAGTATGTGTCTCTTGTCTGATGTTGCTGTTGTTGGTTGTAGTTCCATTTGTTTATGTCATCACCCTTTATTTCTCCTTGATAATTATTTCTATTGTATATAGTTTTGTGTTAGATTAGAACTTTCTTCCTTAGACAAAAGGGGGGAGATATAGAGGTAGTTGTCTGTGCTTTACCACCCCTAGTAGGAACAGGTAACTGCTAGGTACCTGCCCCCACCCAGGGCAAGGCCGAGACGAGGACCCCTTAAGACCTGCGATGTGTAGGTGCTCACTCTCTCTTGGCTACCTTGTGATCCTGGATGCTGGACTTCAGACCAAGTCAGAGTTCTTCAGAGAAATGCGTTGGACTGTCCCTTACCTTTCCTGGATCCCTTAACCGACCCCTTTGCTTGCTGAAGGTTAACCAAAATAAACTTCTTTTGACTATCAGATAAACTACATGGAATTTCCTCATTAATTTCCACTATACCTCATGTGGTATCTAAGGTTTAATTTGACACCTTTTAGGACATTTGATGTCTTGAAATTTTAAGGCTAGTGTTTGGGATGAAGTGTTTAGACCTGAGGTCTGTGTTAGTCTTCCTATTCTCGATACATCTGTTGGCATGCAGAGGCAGTGGGTGTGAGGATGAATGGGCCAGAATCCCACCTTCTGTTTCAACTTTATATAGAATTTCATGCCATCATCTATTTTACATCAAGGGTATCCACCCATCTAGAATAGCACATCAGAAATGAACTTATCAGACATGAATTTGGCTGATTGGATTATTCTGGCTTCTTTTTCTCTCCTCTTGTTTATTTATGTTCAGTAGCTGTCGTTATAAGAGGTCATTTGAACTATTAGAAGTTATTTAGTGTCATCTGGACCCCACCAGCCAGAGCCAATGTTGTTTGTTTATAATCCCAATAGGCTTTATGGACATAGCTCCTGGCCTTTCTAGCCCTACCTCAGCATCAGATCTGGTCTTCCCTGCCCCCCCCCCCCCCCCCCCCCCCGAGGCTCTGTATCATCGGGAGTTGGTCATGGTCCAAAATCTCAGGAAACTCATTTGGCCATTGGAGGTGGAAGAGGGGGGTTTTCCTCCTCTGGGTCTGAGGCAATGGCAGGAACTTTGCTGTGGTCTGAATGTAGTTATGAGATCCGTTGTGGTCCTTACTTCCAACAGGTGGCAATGGATTGTGGCTCTGGGGATCCTTTCCTTTGTTCCCCCAGCCCAGGACAGCGTGTCTTCCTGTGCTGCTGCTCTCGAATTGTGTCTATGTTTGGTTTGTCTGCTCTTTTGTCACCTTCATTACTAGTTCTCTATGTTTGATTCTCTGTTCATGTGCATATGTGTAGGTGTGTGTGTGTGTGTAGGTGTGTGTGTGTGTGTGTGTGTGTGTGTGTGTGTG